GGGGAAACTTTGCCTGTGAAGGTTAGGCCACTGTCTGACTGGGAGAGGGGCAACCCAAATCTAGGTATTAATTCTTGGAGGAGTTTCTTGGTGACTGTCAAGGCTGTCAGAACTTGGCTTCCATCATCAGATGGCATCAGAGCATCAGAGAGGCTTCCATCAATCCAGAGAAGGTAGCTATAAAAATTAACAAATTTTCCCCAAGAATGGTGACTTTTATCTCTGTAAAGCTGACTTGGGGTGCCCATTGGGTGCAGGTTCCTTCCCAGGCTTTTTCTCCTCCTTTGGGATTTACTTGTGTACATCTGCACATCTGGACACAATGTCTTTGACAAGACTATCTAGTTGAAGGATGTAATATCTGGGCCTGAGTAACTTAGCGGGTTTGGATGCCCCCAGGTGGATGGTGCCCATCTGTCTTCTGAGAATGGCGGGAGTACGTCCAGCAAGAGTCACCTCTTTGTGTTCCGTTTACTATCCTTTCCCGGCCCTTTGGTTTCTTTCTGTGTGTAGCTTTGGTGTTGGAGCAATTTGGGTTTGGGCGGGTGACCAAGATCTGAAGCGGCCCCAGTGGTTCTAGGGTTGCCTTCTGGGCAACTAAGTCTGCTGCCCTAATTCCACGGGCTTCCAGGGATTCCCCTTTCTGATGCCCTTTATAGTGGACAATGGCTACCTATTTTGGCAGCTGCATGGCCTCTAATAGGGCCGGGATTTCTTTGTTTTTAATTTCCTTTCTGGTTGAGGTGGGTAATCACATTTTCCTATACAGGGCTCCATGGTCATGGCTGCAGTAAATCCCTAGCAACTGTCTATGTATACACAGCCAAGTGCCTGGGTTGATGCCAAAAGCTCAGCCCTTTGTGCTGAAGTTCCTCACCTGAGAGACTGGGCCCAAACTGTCCTGTCCAAGGTGACAACTGTAGCCCCAAGATACCTGCCGTGCACACTGCCCGTCTGTGCTCTATGCGCTACCATACAGTTCATGAGCTTCGGGCAAGGGGCTAGAGGTTGAAACACACAAAGACTCACAGAGACACACAGACAGAGAAACAGAGACACGGACCTCTAGTCATTGGTAAGAAGCCCTTTATTCAATAGCACCATGGAGGCTTATATACCCAACACAGTCAGGTGGGCCAACAGGTGAAAACCTCATCCTCTGATTCTCAAGGCCAAGTCTACACGTGCTTGTGAAGCAGAGTTGGTAAACAACTTTGACACAGCCTTTATAACTCAAATCAGATGGAAAGTAAAGATCTCTAGCAGGGAAGAGCAGCTGGAGGCCAGGACTCCAAATGGTCCCAACAATACCTGGTTCCATTTTGAACAAAACTGCTTCAGTCCATCAGGCAATAGCGGAGAGGCTCTGTTGGGTTATTTTATGGCAGCAGGCTGGCTGGGTTGATGGCTGAAGTTTTGCAGAATTGGGTATGGGGTTAGTCTAAGAAAAGTGCTCAATAATAAGTCATTTGGGTGTTAAACATCTGTCTTGCTGGGGCCTCTAGAGTGTTGCAAAGCAATTCCACCAGAGACCACACAGAAACTCTTTTTCTCTTTTTATTTTATGTGTATTAGTGTGTCACCTGCATGTATGTCTAGATACCATGTGTGCATGGTACCCTTGGAGGCCAGAAGAGAGTGTCAGATCCCCTGGAACTGGAATTAAAGACATTTGTGGGTGTTGGGAATCCAACAGACTCTTTTTTTTTTTTTTTTTTTTTTTTGGTTTCTTCAAGACAAGGTTTCTCTGTGTATTCTTGGCTGTCCTGGAACTCACTCTGTAGACCAGGCTGTCCTGAAACTCACTCTGTAGACCAGGCTGGCCTGGAACGCAGAGATCTGCCTGCCTCTGCCTCCTGAGTGCTGGGATTTGTCCAGCTCACACAGAAACTTCTAAAGCCAAATACAAAGTCTGTACTGCTGGCTGGAGACTGCATGGGGAACTTACCCCAGTCAGGCAGCTCCAAGGCTCACCATGTTTTTGCCTTTTATATAAAAATAAACCACATCCTGGTTGACATACTTTGGTTAGCAAGAAGTGAAACTACAGAAGCCAAAAAGCAAAGGTTAGTGCATTTTGGGACTTTCCCAGATCCTGGAACTGTGGATTAGGTCTTTGATAGATTACGTCTTTGTTTCCATTTTAGAAGGTGTTCGGGTATATGGTCTGGGTTCTACGGTCAAAACAGTGTCCCTAACATGGCTACAGTAGTGCTCAGGTCTTAGGGCCTGGTACAATCTGTGGTCCATTCCCTGGGCAGAGGATCCTGAACTATGTAAGACTGAGAGAGCAATTTGAGTAGCTGCATGCATACATTCCTCCTGGGTTTTGTTTTTTTGTTTTTATCTGTGTGTCTTGTTTGCATAGATATCTGTGTACCACCTGTGCCACTGGCGCTCTTGAAGGCCGGCCAGTCCCCTGGCACTGGAGTGATGGGTGATTGTGAGCTGTCATATGGGTGCTGAGAACCGAACTCAGGTCCTTTGTAAGAACAGTCAGTGCTCTTAACCTCTGAGCCATCTCTCCAGCCCTGTTCTAGAGTGTGATGTGACAGCTGCTTCAAGTTTCTCCCACCCAAAAGGATGAACTATAACCAGGAATTGTGAACCAAATAAACTTCCTCTGTTAAGCTTTTTTTGTCGGGGTATTTTATCACAACAGGGGGGAAACAACCAAGACGCCTCATAGTAACAAATCCCTTGGTTCAATCTCTAGCAACAAAGAAGGAAAAAGGAAGTGAATTTTCTGGGCTCGCTTACCACACAGTAAGGTTAATGTGGAATCATGGAACCAGGGGGTGATAGCAGGCATCAGTGGTTCTTAGTCCTTCAGGAGTCTCATGTGGCTGGCTCTCCTGATGCCACAAAGCCAGGGGTTTGTGCAGAAAAGGGACATAGTGAATTATGTTGGTGTCCACAGGACATAAGATACAGAGATAACAGATTAGGGCATGAACGAGGACGCCACTAGTAGGCCATAAAAACCGGCAAGGCTGAGCAATATCTAGGAGAAAAACGCTGTTAGGCACAAGATGGGTGGTTGGGGAAGAAACAAGGCAAACAAGCTCTGATGGGAAAGAGTGACTATGAGCAGGGGAGGCTTGCTGAGAGGACCAGACCCATCTCTAGGAGACATGCCCTTGGAGAAGGGTTTTTGGTGTGCCTATAATTCAGGAAAACTCTTAGATGTTGACAGTGAGCATCGATCACCATCTATTTGCTTGTTTGTCTTTTTGTATTTTGAGACAGGGTTTCTCTGTGTAGCCCTGGCTGTCCCGGATGGAACTCTGTAGTCCAGGCTGGCCTCGAGATCCACCTTCCTTAGCTCCACAGTGTTGGTATTAAAGGTGTGTGCCAGCAGTCTGGCAACCACCAGCTATTTAAAAGCTGTAAAAGTCCTAAGTTAAAGTGTGGGGCTTAACACTGCATTCTCCTGGATCTGCATTACTAGAGAATGTTTCACTCAGCATCTTTTTTTTTTGAAAGTAATTTTATTAAATTATAAAAGTTTCCATTTCTGCCCCTCCTCCCACCTTCACTCAGCATCTTACAGAGGGTTTTGGTTTTGTCTGGCAGTGCCGAGGCATATATTAGGCAAGTGCTCTGCCTCTAAGCTACACTCCCAGCACTGACAATTCTTTGGGAAGAGCTAATGCAGAGGGAGAAATGGGAAATCAGATAAGCACAAAAGTAACTTTTAGTAGTCACAACTGGGGCTGTGTGCTAATGGCATCTACTGGGTAGAGAGCCTGGGATACTGTTAACCATCTGATAACAAACAGCCCTCTCCATCTCTGCCAAACAAACAAACAAACAAACAAAAAAAAAAACGACCGGGCTAGAGGCCTGGGATACTGTTAACCATCCTATTAGCAAACAGCTTTCTCCATCTCTGCTGAACAAAAAAATGATCAGGCTTTGAAAGTTAGTAGTATCACTACTGAAAACCCTGAACTAGGAAAATTACCATAATCAAATATAAAATGCAAGCCAGGTAGTGATGGCCCATGCCTTTAACATCAACATCTGGAGGGCAGAGACAGATGGACCTTGGTGAGTTCAAGGCCAGCCTGGTATAGAGAGTGAGTTCCAGAACACCCAGGAATACACAGAGAAACCCTATCTTGAAAAACAAACAAACGAAAGGAATGTCAAGAAATAGGAAATGCATCCACATTTTAACTCTGATCCTCTCTGTCTCTAGTGGACAGGGGTAACAGCCCATTTGAGAGGAAGGTTGGAAGTTGCGGTTCTTTTCACCCTGGAAGCTGCCCAGGTGCGGAGACAGTGGTAATGATGTCAAATCTTACAACTGGTAAAAGGGTCACGGAATCACCTTCAGCAGGCGTGTTCTTTCATCCAAAGCCTGCTGTGAGATGAGGACTAGGTTCTTCCGCCTTTGCAGCTCTGAGAAGCAACCAGGGGAATATTCCCCCGCAGAATAAATCCCAGTCACATTCTGCAGAGCCAATTTCACATTAAGGTCTAGCGGCTTCACTTGTAAGAGCGGTCTGGTAAAACAAAGGGTAATCTCATTACAAAATCTATTTCCTTGAGAGAACACAGGCTCCATAAGGAGGTCAAGAGAACCTGAGTTCACCGACTAAAAGAAACATGACATTTAAGGAACAACCAAAGAACACCCAGAGGAGAGACCAGGCAGACACCTGGGCAAAAAGCAAAGTCAATCATTCCAGAGTCAACCCAAGTTGGAGATACTTGGTTTTCTACAAACAGGTTGCTGTCGAATACAAGACCTTTTTTCATTCCAGGGAATCCTCTAAAGAATATACATTATTGACGTTATTGGGCAAACTAGAGAGCGTCCAAGGCTGAAAACCCCTGGCATCAAGACCGCTAGCGCAGAAATCGAGACAGCATCAGCCTCCCGGCCGGTTTCATAAGCACCGCCCCAAGGCACGAGCATGCGCAACTCTGCATCCCGGCCCCTCCTAGCGCAGGTCCACCCCCGTCACAGAGCATGCGCAGTCCTCAGCCGCCCCGCCCCTCCCCTCTAGAGCCCCCTGTTCCTTAGAAACCGGGCGGCGTGTTCCCGGTATCGGTGAGCTGGATTCCGGTGCCCGCGCATCCGCACTAGTCTCCCTCAGGGCGGACTGGCGGCCTCCGAAACCGGTCGGGATCTATGGTTTCGCATGCGGCTCTGGACGGGCGATGCCAGCGTGCCAGGTGAGAGGCAGCCGGCGGCGGGTGAGGGCGAAGGAGGGCATGGCGCGGCTGGGAGCGGGCGCTGGCCCGGCCTCTGCCACCGCCCGGCTCCTGAGGTTGGAGGCGAGTATACGCGGGGCCCGGACTGGAGGAGGCCTGTGCTAAATGCCATTATGTGCCCTGTACGGAGTACGAGGGTCGCACTGGGATTCGTTTCCCCACCTCGGAGGTAGGACCTGCGCATTTGGACGCAGAATTTTGGATCCGGTAAGATCTTGAACCTAACCACATCCCTATCCAGATGCGAAAGCCTAGGCTGCCGCGCCTAGTGCGGAGCAGTCCACTCCATACCTGTGTGAGGATGGGCGCTTTGTGGATGAGAATTTGTGAGGTGTGGGAACTTCAGACAAAGGACTCGTCGCGTAGCTGGCCCATTCTCTTGCAAAATGAGATGGGATTTTCAGACAGCAAATATGTAAGAAACTGGTGTTCAGGTAACAGCTTGAAACAAGGAACATCCCAGAAGTGTTTGGTTTTCCCTGCCAGCCCCGACCGAGTGCTGTGTCCTGGTTGGCCCTGGCCTACTTTTGTAGCTCAGGAAAAAAAAAAACAAAAACAAAAACAAAAGACAAAAAACTTCTGGATTTGGAGAGACAAAAGATGAGATGAGGTGTTCCTGTCAAGGCTCTATTACACCTGAATGGCGAGGAAAGATGGGGCCGGAAGGCGAGCATTTATGAATGGGTATGTGAACAGTTCACCCTCCAGACTGCAGCAGGATCTAAAGAGCAGGACAGACATATAAAGGTATAAAACTGCATTGGGTAGATAGCAAGGAAGTTATCGTATGTTTGTGTTCGTTGTTCCCCGTGTCATGCTAAGGACAGAATACATGAGGAAGAAGTCGAAACCCAGCTCAGGCACTACTCTGAGGATCTGTGGGCACAAAGACTTCTTGATGGAAGACACCATTCAGTTGAAAGAAACAGCCCTTAAAATAGAAAAAAATAGAAAAAGAAGATACAACATTGCTATGATATATGGTGATAAGGAAAAGATGATCGTCTCTGAGTGGGTAAAGCTAGATTCATTTGTGATAAGGAAACTCATTTCCTTCTGAAAAACTGCACCAGAGAACACAAGAGTGTCAAGACACCCATTTTATAGAAAACGGGAGAAAATTAATGCTTTAGGGCTATGAATTTAAAACATGTTTGGGGGCCAAGAAGTGGAAGTTTTTGTACACAGTTCTATTGGCAGATTCCCCTGCCCTCCGCGGTTTGTTTTTTGTTTTTTTTTTTTGTTTGTTTGTTTGTTTGTTTTTTTCTCGGAGACAGGGTTTCTCTGTGTAGCCCTGGCTATCCTGGAACTCGCTCTGTAGACCAGGCTGGCCTCCAACTCACAGAGATCCGTTTGCCTCTGCCTCCAGAGTGTTGGGATTAAAGGCATACGCCATCACCACCCAGCGACCCTAAACTTCTGATCCTCCTGCCTTCACCTCCGAAGTACTTGAGAGCGCACCACTGTATCTGGTTTTATAAGGCAGCAGGAATTAAACCCAGGGCCTTGTGCTTGCTAGGCATGCACTGTATGAACTGGGCTATATCAGTAATATTTTTTATATTAATTTATTTTGTGCATGTGACTGGAGGTCTGGGACAGCTAGTTCTACTATATGGATCCTGTGGGTGGAACTTGGTTGTCAGGCTTGCCAACAGGTAGTTTTACCTGATCAGCCACCTCCTGGGCCTGTGTGTGTGTGTGCGTGTGTGAAGAAATTCAAACTGGGTGAAGTTGGTGCATACCTAGGACCCAGAAGGTAGAGGTAGGAAAATGGCAAGTTCTGGGCCAGTCTGGGCTGCATATTAACCACATCAAAACTGCAAAAAGGAGGCCATAGAGATGGGTCAGGGGTTAAGAACACTTGATGGTGCTTGGTGGTGGTGGCGCACACCTTTAATCCCAGCACTTGGGAGGCAGAGGCAGGTGGAGCTCTGTGAGCTCAAGGCCAGCCCTGTCTACAAAACGGGTTCCAGGACAGCCAGAGATGTTACACAGAGAAAGCCTGTCTTGAAAAACAAACAAACAAAAAAACCTAATATAAAAAAAACCAAGCAACATTAACAAAAGCCTAGAAAATTCCTATATATGATTTTTTGTAGTAATTTAGTTCTCAGTGAGCTTTTGTCTCAAAGAAACATATGCAGCCACGCATGGTAGCAAACACCTTTAATCATAGCACTCGGGAGGAAGAGGCAGACTGATCTTCATGAGTTCAAAGTTCCCAGCCAGCCAGCCAGTGTTACATATGTGGTTGAGACTGTCTCAAGAAAAATATATACACCTATTTTTTTTTTTTTTTGACCCAAGGTCTCACTCTGTAACCCAAGCCAGCCTGGAACTCTCTTTAGCTATCCTCGTGCCTCAGTTTTCCAAGTCAAGACCCACCATACCTACCTTAAGTAAGAATTTAAAAAAAAAAATTTTGCATGCAAGTGTGTGCCTGATGCCATTGAAGAAGAGAGTTTCAGAACCGCTGGAATTGGATTTATGGGTGGTTCAGGGAATAGCAGATACTTTCAATTGATGAGCCATTGCTCCAGCCCCAAGTATGAGTTGTTTTTTGTTTTGGGTTTTTTTGTTTGTTTGTTTTTTAAGATATATTTTGGGTGAGGGGCTGAAGATATGGGCCAGCGGGTAAGAACATTGGCTGCTCTTCCAGAGGTCCCAGGTCTGATTCCCAGCACCCACATGGCGGCTCACAACCATGTGCAACTGTAGTTCTAGGGGATGCAGTGCCCTCTTCTGGCCTTGATGAACACCAGGCACACACACAGTGCACAGATATACATGTAGGCAAAACACTCATACACATAAAATTTTAAAATTTAGGAACTGAAGAGATAACTTAGCAGTTAGAAACCTTGAAAACTAACATTTAAAAAAGAGATTGATTTTGTGTGTGTTGCCTGTATGTATGTATGTATGTATATATGCATATGCACCATATGTGTGCCTGGTACCCATGAAGGTCAGAGGAGGGTGTCAGATCTCCTGGTAGTAGAGCTATAGATGGCTGTGAATTGGTGTGTAGGTGCTAGGAACTGAACCCTAGTCCTCTGCCTTAGCAATAAGTACCCTTAGCTGCAGAGGCATTGTTAGGTTGGGATGTGTTCGTGGGTTTATGGTTTTTTGTTTTTGTTCTTTTTGTTGTTGTTGTTCTACAATCAGACACTATTTTTTTTCCCAGAGAAAGGTGGACTTAAGGAGACTCTCCAGGTGTTTCTAAGTTACTATGGCAATGAAACCTTTGGCAAATAATTGCTTAGCGCCCACTCCATTTTCAGGGTAACTGAGGGCAGCTATCAAGTCTGACCTGCAATAAAGTAATCACTAGTGTTTGACAGTTCAACTGCAAGGAGCCCTTGCCAGATAAAGCAGCAATACTAATAGCATCTACTTTCACTGAACTGCCTTTCTGGTTTTCCTGTAGGTGAATAGAGAGGGCATGCAGTGCTGTCTGATAAGATGAAGCTGAGACAGAGAGGATAGCAGGTAAAATCGCAGTCAGCCAGGCCAAACAGCGCCTGGGAGGCAGAGGCAGAGGATCTTTGTGAGTTCCAGGACAGCCAGAGCTACATAGGTGAGACTCTATCTCAGAAAAAGGAAGGAGGGAGTGCGTGCATGTCCTGGGTTCAGGGACAGCGCTTGCCTAGTGTGTACGTGTCCTGGGTTCAGTCCCGGGGCCATTGAAAAAGGGAAAAAAACCATTGAAGTTATGAAAAGTTATAATAAAAGATACTGAGAAAAAAAATCAGACTTCCCATACTATTATAATTTCTTTTTTCTTTTGTTTTTTGTAGCCCTGGCTGTCCTGGAACTCGCTCTATAGACCAGGTTGGCCTCAGAATTGACAGAGATCCTCCTGTCTCTGCCTCCTGAGTGCTAGTATTAAAGTTGTACGCCACCACACAGATCTGTGGGTTTTGCTTTATTTTGTTTTCTAGGGTACTGGAGGCTGTGCGTGCTAGGCAAGTGCTTTAACCTGAGCTGTACCATCCCAACACCTCTTTGTTCTCATGGTTAGACAGTATTCCAAAGCAGAGGATAATCCGTGTGATTAGCGACTTCTGCAGCCCCATGGCGGCACATGCTAGAAAATGATTATTTCTGAAGGGAACACGTTTGACAGTGGCTCTGGGTGTAACATGAGGACTGGTTTGTTGGGTTTCTGTACTGCCCGGTACCCCACAACTGGCAACTCCCAAGGAAAATCACATGGAGTCTAAATTAGGTTATAAACTGATTGGCCCATTAGGTAAGGCTTCTTATTAATCCTGTAACTTATATTAATCCATTATCATTATCTATGTTAGCCACATGGCTCAGTACCTTTCTCAGTGTGACAGCTCACATGTTGCTTCTTCGGTTATCTGGGCAGGAATGACAGAGGGAGCTTCCTGCTTCCCAGAATATTCCTGTTCTCATCGCCCCACCTCTACTTCCTGTTTGGTGGACCCACCTGTACTTCCTGCCTGGCCAATCAGCGTTTTATTAAAATATGATTGACAGAATACAGACAATTCTCCCACATCTAGGGACCTGGTGGGTTGGTATGTTTGACCTGCTAGGTTTTCTCAGATTGTCAGGGAGAAGGGGTCAAACCATACTGCCTGTTTCTTTTCAGTCTTTTGAGTTTATTTTCCTGTGTGTAGTGTTCAGGAGATCCAGCTTTTGTTTGGGGGCAGTGGAATAAATACTTAAATATATTGTTTCCTTAAATGATGTTACTTTCAGAATTATTTTTGTTGGATATAAATATTTTTAAAAAGTGTGCCTGTGTGTGTGTGTCTGTGCATGAGTGTGAGATGTTTGTGTACGGGCACACACATGACATGTGAAAGTCAGAGACAGCTTTCTGGAATTGATTCTCTCTTTCTGCCTTTGTGTGGGTCTTAGGAATTGGACCCAGCTCATCAGGCTGGGCAGCTCGTCAGGTTGGGCAGCTCTGCTTTACCCAC